TACCATACCATACCAAACTATATTTGTAATAAATTGTGACAATACGGATGTATTAAGCAATAAAGAATAATGATAATTAAAGATAGATACAATAGAATTACAAATAGGTACAATTGAATTAAAAATAGATTCGAATGAATTAAAGATAGGTTCAATTGATTTGAAGTTAGGTACAAATATTTGAAGATACGTACAATTATTTCAATATATATATTGTTAATCTGGCGTTTCATAAATATTTACTTCGAATAAGAAATAGAAGCAATTATAAAAATTTCCTCTACAAAACTAAAAATAACATTCTGACGTTACAAAATTATATTGTTTCATACGCTGGTTCTATTATACGTAGCTTATAAAGAAAGAAAATCCATAGTCTGGCGTCCATCAAAAGTTGTAGGAAAATCTATATAAACATCTTAAAAAGAAAAAAAAATATATAAGAGAGTTAACTCTAAATGTCTTAGATCCTGAGCAATAATAGTCCATGTGATCTCAATCCTATGAAAAAATAGACTTGATTTTGTCTAAAAGTGTATGCACATTCCCCCCTTTTCTGGTATTTCTTAAACTTATTACTCTCTCACTCACCTCGATATTTAGAGATATCGGCGACGTATTATTGATTTCATTTCTATTCAGATATCAACTCAGTATTATATAGTGAAACTGAAATAGAAAGATACCTCAGTGTATGATATGCTTGTTTCATATTTTAATATTTTATGAGGAAAAAATGGTTAAGAGTACCTTTATACAACATTAGCACTTTGATTAAAGTTATGAATTCTACTTTTCCAGTTGACTTGATAAGCAAGGCATTCTCTTTAAGCACGAACGATTAAGATAACGTATCAACAAACAAGTTGGTGAAACAAGGATTCTAATTGTCTCGTTTTAAGTCAGCATTTTGCAAGTTCTCTAGTTGATATAATGACCCAGTAAGCAAAAAGATATTAATTAAGTCGTACATTTGTATTTTGTAAGGCAATAAAATGTACTTGCATTTACCGACAAGAAAAATAAATTTTATGATCAAATAAAATAATAAATAGCATGTAAATACTTAAAATTTCTTTATTTTTTTATAAAATAAACATTCTGACGAGCAGTATTTCATATACACGAGTTTAATATATATTTTTTCATAGCAATGTTTAAATACAATTTTAAAAGTATCACAATGATTTATATTCAAACGAACGAAGAGAGACAGAATATAACTATATTCGTTTTGAAAACATGTAGAGGTGGACATCATTATATCATTTTTTTTATATTTACTTTCGCTTTGTTTTTCTACAAAGCCAGCTGTGAAATTGATTTGAAAATCATTTTCGTGTATACTCAAGCGTAGAAATATACATAGAGAAACATGCGTTATCGTGGCGTCACAATACTGCTACAGAGACGTAAGTAAAACTACATGTATAACAATAAAGGGCAGCGAGAAATTCAAATATTAAGTATATTTTCGGTGCTTCCAAACATGTAAAATGTAAATATAAGGAATGTTTTTAAGTTTAGTGTGAATTATTGGTGTGAGAATAACACAGACTTGCACGTAGGCATATTTTTTTATTAAGCACTAGCGAGCTTCATGAAATATGCCAAGGTGACAAGTCTGTGTGATTCACACACCAATTACTCATAAAAAACTTAAAATCTTTCCATATAAAATTTTATGTTGTATTACTATTAAACCCTCAGGTTTAGGCTGCATAGGTTAAAGTTAGCATTAGGGTTAGGTTAGTCAGGGTTAGGCTGCAAGGTAAGGGTTAGCATAAGGTTAGGTAAGTCAGGGTTTGTCTGCAAGGGTTAAGGTTAACATTAGGGTTAAGCATGTTAAGGTTACATGTACGTTAGTCACGGTTTGTCTGCATGGGTTAGGGTTAGCATCAGGGTTAGGGTTAGCATTAGCGTTATGTTAGTCAGGGTTAGGCTGCAAGGTTAGGGTTAGCATAAGGGTTAGGTTAGTCAGGTTTAGGCTAAAGGGTTACGGTTAGCATTAGAGTCAGGGTTACATGTAGGTTAGTCAGAGTTTGTCTGCATGGGTTAGGGTTAGCATTAGGGTTAGGGTTAGCATTAGCATTAGGAAAGTCAGGTTTAGGCTGCAAGGGTAAGGGTTAACATTAGGGTTGGGGTTACGTGTAGGTTATTCAGATTTTGTCTGCATGGGTTAGGGTCAGAGTTAAGGTCAGGGTTTAAAAAGAAATACATGATGCTTTTGCTAAAGGTAAAGGAACACTTGGAATTGATATCACGTGACCTAAGGAAATGAAAAAAAGCCTATGAATATTCAAGGATCATCTTTTAAGAAGTTGTACAATAAAATGCACATATAACCACCAATAGATTTTGTGAATAAAAACCAGAACCAACAATGTCAAATACAAGTAATTACCATTTTCCACCATATTTTTAATCATATAGAATTCTATCATTTATACTGTGCACATCAACAGGACAAATGCTTCTTTTTAGGTGCTGAGTCATTTGGTCAAGCACATAAAATATGAACACATGCTTTGCTTCGTCAAGGAGTGAAGATTTTAGAAATTAGCATTACTTGTCTTTCGTTTTAATATATCAAGTATAAATGCAAATTGACATTGTGTACTTGCTTGTCATGTAGAATCCCATAACTTCAGTCATACAAATAAGTAGACATGAGTCATCGTATAACTGGAGAAAGCTCCGAAAAAGAATGATCTACTTATAGATATTTGATGAACCTCTTGGGATGGCGGAAAAAAGCAATTCAGACGTAACTTGAAACAATCACAATTATACCATTTTGAGATTGATGCAAAATATTAAAGAGAAAATTATATATATTTATATATTTTCACATATATTTAATATACACAAACATATTTTAATACAGTAGTTTTCACTAAGCTTTTTATATTCGACAAATGTGCTTTGCAAGTTATATGTAAACACTCCAGAAATTCATCAGAGTGAGAGCAGAATTATACAAACATTGATTTTATATAAAACATCTAACATATACTACAGCAGAATAAACAAGAAAATACGATTGCATAAACACTATTGCATAGACATAAAGTCTTGAGTTCGATGAATACTATTCATTTAGAGACATCTTTATCCCATTGCGAGTCTACACTGTACATCTTGTATTCTGAGATAGGTTGCTTCCTGTAAATTATGATGCGGTACCTTTTTTTTTTTTTTTAGAGATTTTTGATAAGACAAAAGTGCCCCCTGATAGTCTTCACAAACCTCTTGACAGATACCAAGAATCTGCCACGACATACCTCTTAATATTGTCTTAATATGACACCCTTCATCAGAATGGAGGAGAAGATACAATTCATGAAGAGCCTCGTGTTGTTTTTGTGGGTTTCCACGATTACACAACACTAACAACATAAGTACCATAACATCTGGAGGTACATCAATAAAATTTCGTGCTGCCAAACTAAATTCAAATTCTAACCCTTTTATCATGATCATACGTAAGTCCATGTCCACTGCTACAGTTTTTCTCATTATTTCCATGAGTGACAAGCCTCCAATCTCTCTATTATAACACTCTATATCAACAATACGATCATAAGTCCTAAAGGCTTTGTAATCTTCTCTTTTATCAAAGCAATTCATCATATCTATATGGAAGCACCTAGGTATGGTAGATTCAAGTATGTTCAAATTACGACTCCCTGGGGTAAGGCGTAGCCACAATGACCGACCACAATTTGACATAGACATATAGGAAAATTCCTTAAAACTGAAGGCGAGATTCCGATCCATGAAAGAAATGATACGGGACACAAACAGCGACTCAGACTGAGGTTATGTTGTAATAAATCAAAAGCAATTGACATGCTGGGCTAGGTAATAAATGTCGACATGTCCCACAGTGGAATCGAATTTGCTACATTAGGATTAACTCCTGACTTCGCGACTCTTAGAGCAGACGCTCCAACCAATGCAAATTAGTATAAAAAACGTCAGTCAGCATTTGACTTAATGATATTATGTATTGCTGACAAAGGTCATTGTATCGATCGTGGAACTTACTGTAAAGTACGGGGAAAAGTAACATTAAATTAATTGTGACGTCACATGGATCTAGCACCTAAACTAGAGGTACTATGAGTACTCAGCTCACTAAATGATATCCCCGCATCTATTCTTATTATTCATTCTTTTGACAAATGTTCACTTACTGACTTTGTCATTCTTGTAGACATTGCTTTAAAATTAAACGTCTATTTGTATGTAAGTCGTGAGTGGGAGTAGGAGTAGAGGAATGTTAAAACATCAAAATGCAACTTTTTATAGTTTTAATATGCGTATAAAAAGTAAATCCATACTTTTCACCTTTACCGACCGCTTAAGCTTTGCTAAAATTGTCAATGATTCCTGCCAACTGCCTATCTCAGTTTGCCATGCATTTTTTGTACAGCTGGTCTGCACACTTTTAAATTATAAGAGAAACTTTGCATATTATTTTTACATGTACATGTACATATTTCTTTGTAATTGTTGTTTAACACATTCTGTTCTAAAATATGTAGCTTCTTTTATGCCCTGTAATGGTTCCTGTCTGAGCGACTCTTCAAAGGACCTTAACGCCCCGTGTAAGTCTCCCACAACATGCTGACAGATCCCTAGTATCTGCCAGGATAGGTCTCTGGTGTATAAAGGAACTTTTCTCCTGTCATCATAGAGCAAAAGTGTCTGTAGGTCTGTCAGTGACTGTAAACACTGAGATCTATTACCCAGTCTATAGTGAGATAACACAGACAACATCTCTACTATAACAAGTGGTGGTAAATGTTGGTCTGACCTTCCGTTTTGTTGACTCACATTTTGTTCTAAAAATAATTCTTCAATACATGGGATATTGTGAAATAAATACACATCATCCACCCAGGCCAATCCCATTCTTTTAGACAAAGATAGATTACCTACAGTTTCATTGTACCTTTGTTTATCAAAAATATATTGATATATAATAAAGTCATCTAACAATTTTCGTTTAGTGAGATTACTGAATCGTACTGCTTTGTCATATCGTCTTGTTCTGTAGTAATACAATGTGAGATAAAGTAAATAAGACACAGACCCTAATCTTGCTGCCATTTTCAACATGCCACAAATTTTTGTATCTAAGTTATAGATATTTTTATGGGTACAATATGAAGCACTATTTGTCATTATAAAGGCTGATCGAACAAGAGTCTGAGCAGTACAGTTCTGTAATGTTAACAACTGGTATGGCGAGAATGATAACTGAGATAGTGTGTTAATTGATTTTAAGTAAAGATAACATTCCCATATGTGTTGAGCAGGAACTCTAAATCGATTGAATTCACGTATGCAACATATATCTAAATTTGCAATACTTATGAATTCTCCCTCAGCAGGATATAACACAAAGCTAGTTAGGGCTGGTTCAAGGATTGATCTGAGAGTTGGACTCGACAGTAGACAGGACACGCCCATTCTGTAATACTGATAAAGCTTTTGTAAAAGAGATTCACGTGAATCATCAACAATTTTGTTCATGAACATGTTGTTCTGTGCGATAAAAAAATTAGGGAAAACCCCACGATAAACACAATGAAGAAGATATTTAAAACAACTCCAAAAGCAATCCAGTAAGCTGTTTGGGCACCATCTCACTTGTCCTAATTGCATCATCCAGAACATTGTGGTTTTCATGTAATATGAACACAGTAATTTATCCTCCCCACAATTGATAACTTCCTTCAGAAATATTTTCAGGAGTCCGTAACATAGAAATTGTGCATGATTCATGGTACACACTAGTTGTTGCTCGGCTTGAGAAAATGATAACCTCCATTCCAGTTCGTTAGGAGTCACATCAACTTTACTACCAACATGACCAATAGGCATACAGTGACATTCACTTTTTAGGATTTTTTCCAACACAGATACCGGCGGCCAGGTGTGTCTCTGGCATCTGTCAACCCAACTTCTTACTAGTTTAGGCCAAGGAAATGTGGCTAAACAGTGAGCTACATCGAATTCGATAGGTCCATAGAAAGTACTACTACAAGGACCATGGATTCTGACATTTTCGGGGTTAGGAACTCTCTTAATCCTGTATTGAAAATAGTGTTCTCTCCACAGCAGACTTGATAAATAAGCCCCGCCATTAAAGAAAACAAGACATGGTACCATGCCTATGTATGGCAGTGGTGTCAGGAGGAGTAATCTGACAAATCCTGGCGGTGTATCAGAATCTTCCATTAGCACAATATTATGCTTTGATGTATTATAAAACCGAGACTGGGAGATGTCAGTGATTAATTTATAATTACAACACCATAACATTATATCAATGTCAGATGAACTCAGCCGAAATCCCTCTCTATTACTACCACTTTCCATTACAGCATATCCATTATGATTATTAACAGGTTTCTCTATCATATCTTTTATGTCCGACACGTTCCTTCTGATAGCCACTTCTGTCGGTGCCCCTATCTTACGACACAGACCAACATACATGACCTCTGATAGACGGGGAATATGATCCATCCTGTGAATAGGTTATGTTTATTTAATCATTATTGGAAGGAAAGTCAGAATTTTATATCATTTTTGAGAAATTTAACATTCCTGATAGATATTAAAATGAACATAATTATACATACATGTATATGTAACACTATAAGGGTTTTCTTGTATTCTCTTCAAATGGCGGGCTGTGATTTATCTGTTAAAGGGAAATACCTATATCCAGAAAATCTTGTTTCGTTTTCTGTTTAAACATTCGAATAGTTATTTATGGAACGCCGTGTGAAGAACTTTCATTATACATGTATAATGGTATTTTGTCATTATATGATGGTATTTTGTCATTATATGATGATATTCTGTCATTATATGCTGGTACTTTGTCATTATATTATGGTATTTTGTCATTATATGATGTTACTTCGTCATTATATGATGGTATTTTGTCATTATATTATGGTATTTTGTCATTATATGATGTTACTTTGTCATTTTATGATGTTATTTAGTCATTATACCCTAAAATCTTGAAAATAAGCCTAGGCTTATTTTAAGTTTTGGTAAGAAAGTGGGGGCTTATTTTCAAGACCGGCTTATTTTCAAATTGCGGCTTATTATCAAAGCAAAAAACTGGTAAGAGAAGAGAGCACTCTTGTATTCATTGGCGTTTCCCGGTGTAAGTTCTTTAGGATTGTCGACTCTAAATTTTGAGAATGCCGATCCCGAAAGGTTAATTTTATTGTATACAGCATATGAATTTATATGAAATATAAACTTGTTTTTAAAAAGTAAAAATAATATTTAAGATATCGGCTTGCAATTGAATTACTTGATATATTAATCAAACTAACTCATATCTAAACAACTCAACTATACGGTACATTGAAATTTAATTACTACCAAGCCCTGCCGATCAGCAGGTTTCTTGCTTCGGGCAGTATTACCTGGCAGTTCAATGCTTTACAAACAAAAACTTCCTTTTATCTATTTACTTATTTAATTACCATCCCAAACACATCATTAGCTTGTACAGGTCTTGATTAGATAATTATTGTTCTGACAATTTTATGGAAAAAAAATTCACCATTTAAGCTGGTTCTGCAGTTAATTTTATTTTTTAACCAGCGTGACATGATTTCTGGTAATAAAAAATAAACTTTATAAATAAACAACCCTTTATTTTGTAATTTTACATAAGTTTATTAGTGACATCGTTACTCCTTTGTACTATGCCATATGCATAAGTTGGTAAAGGTTAAACGAATTAAAGAAAGATAACTTTTTATTTTGCACAGGAAATAAATATTGTCAAAGTTTCCACTTGTCAGATTTTTAAGACGAGAAAATCTTCAAATGTTGAACATCTTTCCTAAATCGCATTGTCATGACCGGCTTATTTTCAAAACTGGCTTATTTTCGAATAATTTTTAATGCAAGAAATGGGTGGCTTATTTTCAAAACCGGCTTATTATTAAATCCGTCTTATTTTCAAGATTTTAGGGTATTATGGTATTTTGTCATTATATGCTACTAAATTTCATTAAAACATTGCTGTGATGTCATTCCTTTGTTCTTGCACTCTAAAAATGTACCTATGGCAGTCTGATATTAGTGAGCAATGTGATATTAATCGTAATATCAGACTGTCTCAGCACTGATATCCTTCAAAATTGGACTGCTACTGAACAAAAGAAATAAAAGGTGGGATAATTTAACAAAAATCAATTTAAATTTCTAACATGATGATTTAGAAAGTTAACATTACACTTACAGAATTGCAAAAAAAAAAATCAAACTTTCATTTACATCGTATATACTATGATAGTAAGAAGCACATGCAGAAGACCAGATAATGCAAAGTGAAAACAAACATTAAAAAATACAAAAAAAAGGGAAAATTCTAATAAACGTATTAAAATTGGAAAAGTGTTTCAACCCCTTTCTCCTGTTTTTGAAAAAGACTGGACACACTTGGGTCCCCATAGAAGGAAATAAACTTTCAAAGCCCAAACAATAAAATTCATAATAAAACACAAATTTCATTTTTCTTATTAAAAGGAAAATGCATATAGATGCAAAATCAAGGTAACTAGGCCTAGTATATGATAATTGATACCCAATTTGAAAGATTCGCAACGTTTCCCTCAAAACTCCTGGATTATTGATTATATTGGTTTTTTCTGTATTATGAAACATAAAAAACATAGGTTTGTGTTGTAAATGGACTAGTGTACCTTTAGAATCTGCATAATATTCTGAAAATATGTTTCATATCTTTAATTTCCCTTCGTTTCAAATTCATCATTCACTAGATTGTATAATAATTCGTTGCACTGATTTAATCTCCGTGTATGTTTAAATGAAGAAAAATTTTGTTCCAACTCTCCTTTTCAAATTCTTTCAAATACTTTCTTCAGTGTAGCCAAATCGCAATATACTGAGTACTTTTCACTTAAGCCTGCTGCTTCAGTGGTCATTAACACCTTATCTTTTGTTCTAATTTCGGACTGTCTCAGGTAACTCAAAAGCAATGTTTTAAGTACGATATACGCCTCATACAACTCTGTATTAATAGATATCAGGCAGTTTTCGGTCCTAACGGGCCTAAAACTGTCTGATATTTTTTAATACAGAACTGTATTTGGCATAAATCCAATATTTATATGCTACTACTTTGTCATTATATGCTACTACTTTTCATTATTTTCATCAGTCATTAAGAATACAATCTGATGGACAGTAGTGATATCATGTGATTCTGTGTGTCATGCCGAGAAAAAAGTGGAGAAAAATATCATTGTGGACAGAGAAATTGAGAGGAGATGTAAAGACATGATGAAGATATTCGACAGTAGCATTAAGTATCTGGAGGACGAGCTGGAGAAGAAATGCAGTGAAGATCAAGTGAGGGAGATAGTTTTTGAGGCAATACAGTAATCAACAGAATCAAAAAAAGCTGATACAGAGGACGAGACTGCTAGTGAATCCGGAAAACACACCGTGCCAGTATAAGCAGTACTGAGTGAATTTATGAGAGGAAAAACAGAGAATGTAACATGAACATCTATGGGATAGAGGAAAGTGACTCAGACACTAAGGAAGTACGTCGTTCCTATGACAGGGATCAGGTGAAAGAAATTGCTGATGTTTGTGAAGTGAACATCGCAGATGAAAGCATGATAAAGTTAGTGAGACTTGCTAAATTTAATAAGGATAAGAAACGCCGTCCATTGCTTGTTACCTTCTCATCCCCAGAAAAAAAGTGGAGTTCTTTAAACGAGGTGGAAAGTTGCTGGAAAAGATTGAATTCAGTGAAGTACGACTCGCAAATGATTTGACACGCACAGAAAGGGAAAATGAAAAGAAACTGTATATGTATTAACTGAATAAAAATGGTTTGGGGGGATTCAATTACCGTGTGCAAGGAAAGTGGTAAAGCTCAGGGTAAGCGATCCAGACTAGAAGATACAAAGAGGAATGTAAATGATGTATATCGTTTTAAAGTGATAAACAAACTTTCGTTCTTTTACACCAATGCAGACCAATTAAGAAATAAGTTCAATGTGTTCCAGATCAGGATAAGGGACACAAAGCCATTGATAATAGGAATAACAGAAATGAAGGCAAAATATGCAACATGTGCACCTAATCCAGCTGTATATACGATGGATTGGACGAAGGAATACAAGATGTTTCATGTAAATATTGAGAGCAGCATAGGTAGCATAGGTAGAGGAGTACTTTTATATGTACATGATTCTCTTTTTGCAGAGGAGGCAAAACTTTCAGCGTCCTTTGAGGAGCAGATTTTTGTGAAAATAAAGATAAACAGCACAAACTATTTCCTAGTTGGCCTCATCTATCGGTCAACGCCAGACAATACCGAAAAAAAGAAAACAATGAATGTTTAAGAAACCTGATAACTGAAGCCTCAGGAATGAAGTGCAAACACTATCTCATTACGGGAGATTTCAACTTTTATAATATAGACTGGGATTTACTGTGCACAAAAAGTGATAACTCTGCTGAGCAGAAATTGATAGATTGTCTGCAGGACAACTTCATGTTCCAAACCGTCACAAAACCAACAAGGTGGAGAGGAACGAACATTCCAACCATTTTGGATCTTGTGAGCACAAAGGATGAAAATGCTGTGGAGGAAATGGAATACCAAAGCGGATTAGGAAAAAGCGACCACTTATCTGCTTTAACTATGTTTGCGGTGCAATACTGAAAAGTATATTAACTCAAAAAGTAAAACGAGACAAGGAATTGGGGAACTGTATGTCAACCCTAAAAATCCAAAGTCCAATAAAACAGAAGTGGATGAAGAGAAAGCAAATATTTTAGCAGCCTTTTTTAGTAGCGTTTTTACACAAGATTCTGAAGAAGCCATACCCAAACTGGACAAACGCCCAATCAAGAAGGAATGGACATAATTAAAAATATTGGAGGAATGAATTATCAAAGCACTGAACCTGTTACAGCCAGATAAGTCACCAGGATTAGACAACATGCATCCAAGGATATTGAGGGAATTAAGAGTGAAATTAGCAGAACCCCTTGCAAGGATCTTTAGGAAGTCAGTGGATGAGAGAATAGTTCCAGAGGAAGGAAAACAGCACGTATTAGCGCGATCATTAAAAAGGAAACAAGGCGATAGCATGAAACTACAGACAAGTGAGCTTAACGTCAGTGGTGTGTAAAGTCATGGAGAGACTAGTTAGGGACCACATAATAGATCACTTTGTAAGCAACAGCCTCTTTACAACTAAACAATATGGCTTTATCAGTGGTAGATCAACTTCACTACAACTGTTAAGGGTATTAGAGGAATGGACAGAGGCTTTGGACAGAGGACATGATGTTGACTGTATCTACATGTACTATCAAAAGGCCTTTGATACTGTCCCACATAACAGACTGCTTAAGAATCTGGAAGCATATGGAATAGGAAAAGAACTTCTGGAATGGATAAGGAACTACCTAAGTGGAAGGAAACAACAAGTATCCATAAACGGGGCAACATCTAAATGGCATATCGTAAGTTCCAGCATTCCACAGGGGTCAGTAATTAGGCCGATAATGTTCGTCATATTTATCAACGATCTCCCTGATATTGTGAGCTCTACTGTGTACCTATTTGCCGAAGACACGAAAATCTTCAACATAGTTAAGAGTAGGGAAGATAAAATGACACTTCAAAGAGATCT